GTGGACAAGGAGCCCGGAACCCTGGTGAACCTTGAGCCCTGGCAAAGGTCAGAACTATGCACCGACTGTTTAGTCAACATAATGGTAGCTGAAGCAATTTCTCGACTAGATAGTCATGTAAATCCTTACTGATAAGATAGTCTGTCTGTTATGGAATTGCCTGCCTAAGGGCTATAGGTGTATCCCAAACTGAATAAAAGGATGGCAAGGCCTGAGCACAAGCGGAGTCCTCCCTCTTGTGTTGGGCTCCCGCCTGGCCCCCCAATTTCCAAATTATTATTTCTTGTCTCGTCTCTGTCATTTGCGCGCGGCCCTTCTCCAGAGCCCGAACACTGAACCACACGGGATGTGGGTCATCACATCTTAGGACCTCTTTCAATTCCATATAAATTTGAGGATGGGCTTTGCCATTTCTGCAAAAAAGGCTATTGGAATTTTGATAGAGGTTCCATTGAATCTGTAGGTCACTGTGGGCAGTATTGACATCTTAACAATATTGTCTTCCAATCCACGAATACAGGATGTCTTTCCATTTATTTAGGTCTGCTTTAATGTCAGCAATGTTTTTTAGTTTTCAGCTTCTTTGGTTACATTTATTCCCAAGTATTTAATTCTTTTATATTCTAAGTGGAATTGCTTTCTTTTCAGATTGTTTGTTGCTGGTGTATAGCAACACAACTGATTTTTGTGTGTTGACCTTGTATTTTGCAATTTTGCTAAATTTGTTCATTAGCTCAAGTTGCTTTCTTTTTGGTTCTTTGAGATTTTCTAGTATAAGATCATGTCATTTGTAAATTGAAATAGTTTTACCTCTTCCTTTCAAATCTGGATGCCTTTTTCTTTCTTTTTCTTCACTAATAGCTCTGACCAGAACTTCCAGTACAATGTTAAGTAGCAGCAATGAAAGCAGGCACTCTTTCCTTGTTTCTGTCCTTAGGGGATGGAACATTTTCAGTCTTTCACCATTGAATATGTTAGCCGTGGGATCTTCTTAAATACCCTTTATCACGTCAAAGTTCCCTTTGATTCTTACTAGTAGTTTTCTGAGTGTTTTCTTCATGAACAGGTACTGTATTTAAAGAATAATTCTTGTACTTTCTGTGTCAATTGAGATGATCATGTGTTTTTTCCCTTTGTTCTATTAATGTCCTCTAGTTCATTCATGTAGTCTAAAATTAATGTATTCTAATCAATATACCTCATTGATTGATTTTCTTACATTGAATCCCCCTTGCATTCTTGGGATAAATTCCATTTGGTTATGATGTGTAACACTTTTAATATGGTATTGGACTGAATTTGCTCCTATTTTGTTGAGGATTTTTGCATCTATATTCATAAGGGGTACTAGTCTGTAATCTTATTTTCCTGTGATGTATTTATTTGGCTTTGGTATCAGTATAATGCTAACATTACGGGATGAATTAGGAAGTGTTCCTGCCTCTTCAATTTTAGGGAAGAGTTTCAGAAGGATTGATGTTAAAAAGATTATTCTTTTTTTTAAAAAATCCTCACCTGAGAACATTTTTCCATTGACTTTTAGAGACAGTGGGAGAGGCACACACACAGAAATATCTATGTGAGAGAGATAGAGCGGCTGGCTGCTTTTGCACATGCCCTGATCAGGGTTGGGGATCGAGCCTGCAACCGAGGTACATGCCCTTGACCAGAATCGAACCTGGGACCCTTCAGTCCACAGGCCAACGGTCTTTCCAAAGTGCCAAACTGGCTAGGGCAAGAATTATTCTTTAAATGTTTGGTAGAATTCACCAGTGAAGCTATCTGGTCCTGGGCTTTTCTCTGTTGGAAAGTTGGGTTACTGATTCAATCTCTTTACTTGTTATAGGTCTGTTGAGATTTTCTATTTCTTTTGAGTCTATTTTGGTGGTGTGTGTCTGGCTAGTTTGTGAACTTTTCCATTTGATCTAGGTTATCTAATTCATTGGGATGTAATGTTCATAGTATTCTCTTATACTTTTCTTTCTGTAATGTCAGTAGTAATGTTCCCACTTTCATTTCTTATTTTAGTTATTTCTGTCTTTTTCCTTTTTTCTAAAGTCAATGTTCATTTAGATTTATTAATGTACCACTTTTTGTTGTTGTTGCTTTTCTTTCCTTCTGGCATTCTTAGTTCTTTGATCTGGTCTTAATTTCTTTATACTTGAAATACATAGATAGTTTAGAATTTCCTTTAGTGAAGACGCTCACTATTTGTCTGAAAATATTTTTATTTTGCCTTCATTCTTTTTTTTAGTTTTGTTTGTTTGTTTGTTTGTTTTTATGGTTAATCCTCACCTGACTGGGAATTGAACCCACCACCTTTTGGTGTATGGGATGACGCTTCAACCAACTGAGCTACACCAGCTGATTATACAATATTTTTGTTGCTTTAAAAAAATTCCAATAACAGAGAAAACTTATATTTGATAAGGTTTGCTGCTCTCTACCATCTTATGTACATTAGCTGTCCATTGTATTAATCTTGGAATTATGTCTCCATTTCACTATGCTTTTCCTCCACTAAATGGGAAAGGACTCAGTGGTGGCTGGGGCACCATCTAGCGTTGTTCAGGCTTGAGGATCACGTGTGTGGGCTCTTGTGAGCGCTCCAATGGTCCAGCTCACGGGTGGATGTCCTTCCCCTCCCCAGCTCCTGGCATATGGGTGGTGACGGTTGCTGGTAGGGGGAGACTGTCTCCATTCTTGTACTGCTTGTGTCAGCTCTGAGGAAACGGAAGCTCCCAGTACATAGGCCCGATTCCCTCCTTATTCCTTGTATTGACTGGGACAGCAGCTGGAAAAAGGAGCTCTTGGCCTAAGGGACCTTCCAGGGACCCATTTTGATTTTCATTTTCACCTTGATGGTAATTCGTGACATCTATGCTGTCATAGCACAACTAGAATAACTGTTAGGTTTCACGGTCTGTGGAGTGATCACATGTGCTTCTGACCTTGTCTCCTCCCAGCAGCCCAGTCTCACTCTCTCTGGGAAGTTAGGGAGGGAACATGTCCCCACCCTCCCAATGGTTTCTCCACAAAGGGCCGAGTTTTGCCCTCGGTCTGGATTGGACAAAGGGAGGTGTTTTCTTTCCACAGAGAATGGGACTAGACCCTTCCTTGGTCACTGGTGTGTCTCCAGGACCCATCGTGGTCCTCAGCACCTTGCGAAGTTGGTAGGGATGATTTCCTGTGCTCGGTTCCTCCCCGCCTCGGCGTCTGAAGGGATCACTTTGTAGACACCTCTCCTGTTCTCTGAAGCAGCCTGCAGCTCAGACCTGCGACAGGGGTCTTAAGAAGCTGGGTGGAGGTGCCTGATGGGGTGCATGTAAGGATGTCATCTACATCCTCTCAAGGTCTTCGGATCCCAAACTGAACCAAGAGGCAGAGCCTGGAAACAGGACAGAGAATAAGGGCCGTGTCCAGGAGGCCTGCCCCCACCTGAGGGCCACCTTAAGGCCTGGGCCCACCTTCCACCCTCTTGCTGACATCTAATATGCTCGGGGGAGCTGTGAGGCAACCTGATGGGTGAGATACCTGAGGCTCAGTGGAGCCCAGGCTGGGTGCCAGGGACGCATCTTGGCCACCTCTTTGATGCCAGGGAGAAGTCCCCTGTCCCAGAAGAAGGAACAAATACACGTTGTGGGGGGCCCTGCTCTGTACCAGGGACTTCAGTCCCTTTTTCATGTCTGGGCCCCACCTGGCACCTGTCTTAAGATTTACACCTGAGATCAGCTTAAGTGAGATGCAGATGGAGGAGGCAAAGCTCTTTCCCTGAGAAACCGGGCCCAGAGGGGAGGCAAGCTGCCTGCCCAGCGGGAGCCTCTGCCTGCCGGCCTGGGAGGGGCCTGAGTCCCAGTGCTGAAGGTGGGAGTGGAGTGATTCAGCCAGGACGAGGGAAGGTTGAGGATTGAGACAGGACACCCAGGTGTCAGGCTGATGGAGCACCCAGGGCGGGAGGAAGGTTTCTGGGGGATCTCAGGGCTGGATGATGGGAGTAGGTAACAGGAGTTGCATCAGCCTGGACTTGGGGTGCTCCAGGGCCTGGCAAGAGCAGCACTTGGGCAGTCAAGACACTGGAGGTGCAGGGGGCAGCCCAGGGGGCTCTAGAAGGGCTGGGTGGGCTGTAATAATTCAGGCCAAATAAAGGGAAATACAAATGTCTGGATTTTCTTTATTTAACTCACTTTTTTTCTCTTGACAACTTAGAAAATTGCTTTGAAAACTATTCAGTGTCTGCTGAGCTCAGGCAAGAGAAAGTCCCGAGGCTGGTAGAGGAGAGGGTGAGGGGCCTCCTCCTGCCCCAAAGTTTCCTGGGAGAGAACAGTGCCAGCCCCCTCGGCGCACCTTGAAGTGCAGAGGTCGGAGGCTGCCCCTCCGGAGCAGCCTTAGCCTTCTCTGTGCTGGACCCACACCCTCCCTCCTTAGTCTGAGACCAGCCTGTGGCTTGGCACCAAGGCTATGGCCCTACCACCACCCATCCCCCACTGGCCTACAGTGGAATCGTCTTCTCGAGTTTCTGGTAATTTTATCAGGGCTGCATCGTGTTGCTAAAACTACAGATAACATCTCCCTATGGGTAACTGTTCCCTGCTAGAGCCCCCTGAGGCTGGGCCCAGGCTCAGAGGAGGGACACTGGGATGTGGGTTGGGTTTGGGGGCACGAGGGTCCATGAGGCAGACGCAGGCTGGCGGGATGCTGGAACCGTATTGAGGTACGCTGCTTACCATTGGAGCTTCTGGAACATGGGGGCTGGAGCTGGGTGGGGGGCCTGGAGAGGCCCCTGGAGCTGTTGCTAATTGTCTCCTGGCATCTCCAGCTGGTCCTGCTGACAAGCCCCTAAGCCCAGGTACAGGCACAGAGAGCCGCCCCTCCCGGTCCAGGGCCACCTTAACTGGGCGGGGCACACCGCTGATGCCATCTTCGGGAGGACAGGCCTGAGCGGAGGACTGGCTTTGCGAGGCACACACAGCTTCCAGCCTGCTCCCAGGTGGCCCAGCACCATGATCCAGGGCGCCTCTGAACCTGGTGGCCCCGGCTGGGGCTGGGACGGGGACGGGGACGATGACTGGGACAGTGCTGTGCTCACCCTGTTGGCGCTGGCTGTCGTGGTGGCCACGGCCCTGGCCCTGCACTGGTTTGGCTCTGGGCAGGACCAGGAGGCAGCAGGACCAGCATCCACCGGCCCCAGAGCCCAGCCTTCTCAGGCGGGAGGAGCTGGGCCAGCCCTGACCCCAAAGTCCAAGGTCAGTGGTGGCATCGAGGGACACAGCTCCGGGCAGAGGAAGCCAGAGCCTCCAGGACCTAGCCAGGCGAGTCCAGCTACAGCCAGTGCCCGGGACCACCAGCCCTACGGGAGTGAAGATCTGGCTGCCACGGCCGCAGCTCCACCCAAGACACCCAGCGAGGCGGCCAGTGGAGGGGCCTTGGGACAGCAGCATGGCAATGCCAGCCCTGGAGCCGCCCGAGGTGCCGGAAAGCAGCAGCCCAGGCCGGGTGCTGCCCTCCCGGGTAGGAGCAAAGCCGGGGGGACGCCTGCCCCGCTCCTGATACACTTCACTCCTCCGAGTCCGGACAGAGACATGGAGGTGCAGGCGGAGGCAGGAGGCCTCTCAGCCAAGGCACCAGCTCACCAGGCCCCGATCCACACGGTGGAACAGGACACCGGCTCCTGGAAACACGGAGCGGGGCCACCTGGCTCACTGGGGAGGCGGTCAGGCAGCCGGCGGTGGCAGGTGGATGACAGCTCAGGAGAGAGAACCCGGCGCCTCCCAAAGCTGGACCCCCTGCGCCTGGGTGCGGTGGTGAGTGTGTGGGACGCTGTGGATGCAGCCAGCACCTTCTCTGCAGGTGCCCAGAGGCCCCGTTACCGCCATGAGCTGCCCCCACCAGACTCTGTGCAGACTGGACGCCTGACAGATGGCTCAGAGAGGGGGTGCGGGAAAAGCAGCCCCCAGCCAGACCAAGTTTTAGCTCTGGATTCAGGGACCAAAGCTGGTGAGAGCAGGGAAGCTGGGCCCTGGGCTCCCGGGGAGTCTCAGGGGTCCCCAGCGTCTGTGGAAGGCTGGCCCTGGGCAAGGAGGGAGGTCCTTGTCACCAAGAGCTTCAGCCAGACCCCAGGCTTCATAGGACCACGGCCAGAGGGGCAGCAGTGGGGGCGCCCACTCTTGTCCCAAGAGGGGACCACAGTGATCTGCACTATGGGAAAGGCTGGGGTGAACGGCTCTGGAGACCACTCTTTCTTCCGCTCAGATTCAGGCAGGACAGAAAAGCAAGGGGCCCGCAGTGTCGGAAAAGGGAGAGGATCCGGGCGAGGCCAGGGGGAGCCGAGCAGTGGACAGGTGGCTGGCTGTCTGGACACAGGGAAGCCAGCCACAGACGGCCTCAGTTGTGTCCCCTCCCTGCATCCCTCAGCCACACCCCCCCTACTCATGCCTGAGCCTCTCTCTCCCTCAGCTTCCCTGACCGAAGCACATCCCAACCGAGGTCTCTTACCTGCAGCCCCGACTCATCTGATCTCCTCTCCTTCACACTCTTTGCCCCTCAGAGTTGACCAGGGTCCTGCCAAGGATGAAAATCTCAGAGCAGTGCCAGCCCCAGCCCCAGCCCCAGCCCCAATCCCAGCCCCAGCTGCATCCCCTGCCGCAGCCCCAGCTGCATCCCCTGCCCCAGCTGCATCCCCTGCTGCAGCCACAGCTGCATTCCCTGCCCCAGCCCCAGCTGCATCCCCAGCCCCAGTCCCAGCTTCATTCCCAGCCCCAGCCCCAGCCCCAGCTGCAGCCCCAGCTCCCAGCTCAAGGTTCAGTTTCAAGTACATGCTGAGCTCCTGCCCCAGCTCCCTGCTCTTTCTCAGCCTTAGTTTTCATCTGCT